CTCTCTCTCTCTCCTCTCTCTTCTTTCTTCTCTCCTTCTCTTCATGCATTGTTGAACAAAGTGCACTCTCCTCACCGTTACACAGCCACCTCATGGTCCCACTGGCAGCTTCACTCACCCTGTGGTCCAACCAGTGTTTGTGTAAGTCGTTGTGCATGTTTGATGTAGGAACAGCCAGATCTCACTCTTTTCTTTGTTTTCTCCCCTCTTCCTCTTCCTCCTGTTCCTCTCCCAGGAATGAGGGAGCACCCGCCCATTCCTGTCGTTGACCTGGCTGACCACATAGAGCGACTGAAGGCCAACGACGGCCTACGCTTTTCCCAGGAGTATGAGGTAAGAGCTGTGCACTAATGTTGTATCAGTGCATCCCTCTCTTTCAAGCATATAAATGTTTTTCTTTGTTATTGTGTCTGGGAGGAAGTTTTGTGTTTATGCCTTTTTGATCCCATATGCATGTATCCTAATGGATTATGGAAGACTTCTTTCACAGACATTTTTCAGTCATTTTTACAACTCTATTACCAATCCCACCAGGAAACCAACACTTACATTAAATACTGCGAGATGCTTTTTCGTAAAACTAGCAGGTGGCGAGTTGCTTAAGCAATCTGTGTGCGTCTTGATGTTTCCCCTAAGAATGTTATTTTGCAGGCAGTCTCTCCGATGCAACTCAGTGAGGGATTATCTCTTGTCAGTGTTCTTACTAAAAAAAAAAGGGGGGGAGGGGGCGAATTTGCATTTAAAGTGGCACATAGTTGGTTTGGGGACGAAGTGAGACCAGATGAAGAGGAGAGGCATCCTTGAATACAGAAAAAACAAGAGCTGTCTTTTATTTATTTGTTCTGATTGTGTTATCTGTTTCGTCGAATCAGTTCTATTCCTCAAAATGATGGATCCAACAAGGCTGTTAGAATGATTGCAGATCTTTTTTTGTCTTTTTTTTTTTTTACCTTCACATTGCCTCTCTCTGTTTGCCTGCGACCAGTATATGTTGCTATAGCCTGAAATTTGCTGTGCAATTTCTCGCTGAGTGAAACAACAAATGTATTTTGGTGACCTCATGACCTTTCCCCGAGCATCACCACAAGCCCAAACTTTAGTCAACATTTTATAACTGTTCTGTTATCTGCCCTGTCCAGTTTTTACTGTAAAAATAACATCTATTTCATAGCCTTACATTACCATTCTATTATCTAGCCAGTTGTACAAAAAAAAACATTTAGAACTGGGCATGGTGCTTACATTAATATACATTTTTTGGATTGTGTCTTATAAGATTAAACCCTTATTCATTCAGATTTTATACATGATTTTATTCTTAATTGTAGTCCTTCCAGGTGAAACTAAGCACAGTAGTGTTAAGTGTCGAAACTGTAAGAGTGGTTTTGATTCAACTTTATGGTCATTATGGAGGATGTAGTTTGTGGTACATCTGAGCTGCATTGCAAGATTTTTTTGGCCGGGGGGATGGGGATTATTGCTTTCATTTGATAGTAATAGCTGTAGAGAGACAGGGAATCAGGACATGAAGCAAAGGGCTACAGGTTGAAATTGAACCCAGGTTGCTGTGGTAAAGACTCAGTCTTAGTACATGGGGCGCATACTTTACCAAGTGAGCTACCAGCCACCCCACTGAGAGTGTTGTAATGTTTGGTTCACACCTTTATATACATGAGGGATGACTTAAACATACAGCATAGAAAGCATAGTCTTGTATAAAATCTGTAAGGAAGAGCCATGAGAAAATATACATTAATTGTTTGGATGCAAAGTCTCACATTTTATAACGTAGTATATAATTCTAGTCTATTTTTTATTTGGTTCAGCGTGAAATTAACAGCTAACTGGGGAGATAATTAGACCTCAGTAAAAATCTGCACTCAATTAAGTGCTTTTTTGTGTTGCTCCGGGCCCCTCCAACACATCGCCCTCCCGGCCTGTTGAGTTAGTATAAACGAATCAAGCCAGAGAAGTGGCTTGTACAACTGCAGGCAACCAGCCCGGCCCCATTCCCTCCCCACACCATTCTAAGCCAGGGAAGACCCCCTCCATGGCCCGGCAGATGGCCGCCCCTCTCTCTGCCAGGCAAGACACTGTGGCAGAGCTCATGGCGCTTTGTCACAGTCACGTTCGCCGGCTGCTCCCGTCGCGCATTACCCCAAGGCACGAAATTTGTAGAGGCTTCACTACTTCCTCTCCCTGATGTTTTAGGCAGCCTGACACTTCCTTTACCACCAACGCCAGTCCGCATCACACTGAGCAATGAGCACTCGGGTAATGAGCAGAATTTGTCAATCAGGCATGCTGCAGCTCCCCCTGACAACTCTTTTAACGCAGGAAGCAATATCACGCTGCAGTCGTCATAGCATCATTAGGTTCATTTGAAAGAATTTCCAGTGTGTCAGCGAGAATATCTTGGGCGTTTGCTTCTCACCTCTTTCTACCTAACTTGTTTTCTAGTTGTCATCAGTCTGGTGTGCCCGCTGTGTTCACTGAGCTCTCAAATGGATATGACATGTTTTGACTGCAAATGAAATCTTTCTCTTCGTAGTGGCGGGCACGGACAGCGAAATTGGCAGTGCTGAGCTCATCAGCAGCAATAGGCCTATACTCACATGGCTCTCAGTGCTGAGCAATTTTGGCTGTAGCTGTAGTGAAGGGGTTTTTGCATATGAGCACTCCACATTTTTCATATTTGTTCAAGAACAAATAGCATGTAAATGGCTTTCTCTGGAAATAAACTTAGCTTTTATGTCATATTTCTACCTATGTAGGGGCCACTTTATTCCATAGGAAAACATAGTGAGAGCTAGAAAGCTGAAAGCTAATTTGCTATAGCTTAACTCAATGGCCCAGAATCCTAATCTTCAGTCTCTCTGGACCTCACCTTGCACCCTTTATTTTCCAATAATAATTATTATTATGTTTGAGCTGTCAAGATTTGGCATGAAATAACCTCTAATAATTAAATTAGTGCCAGAACCACGTTAAGTAAGTGAAAGAATTTCAAGGTGTCATTTTGACTCTTGCTGGATTTGCGAGGCGAAAGGTCTGGGGAATTAGTGGACATGGTTCCGGTGTGCGCTGAGGGGGATCGATACAGAATAACAAGAGACTCTGTGACATTATCGAGCCAAGGGATGGGAGGCAGTCACATATCTCCGCAGATCAATATGTATGCAGTCTACTGTCGTCTTAGCCTGAGAGACAAATGACGTAAGATGGAAAGGGTTAGAAACTGAGGGGCTGAGAGGGAGAGGGTGACACAAAAATACAGGATAGGAAAAGGCAACAGAAATAGAAGTTGAGAAAAGAAAGACAGGATGAGAGGAATCATGGTTACCGCAAGAAGTCATGCATGGCACTTCTCAGAATTAGGTAATTTAATAGGACCATCCGAAAGGGTGTGTTTGTTGCTGCCTGCAAGCTTCAGAAAGAAACTAATTTCCCAGCTAAAATGAAGATTCTCATCCTGTTTGGTTTAGAAATTGGTGGAATACTTCGGCTATCTTAGCTCAATCTATGGATGATGGCCTTTTAAATGGCAATTTAAATGACCAAAACAAGTGCCTTTGTATCTCTTCTTCATTAGCATTTAGGCATCATGCAAATAACCAACCTCTTAATGCACAAACAGTAGTTGCAGTGTAGCCAGCAGTATGATAGCTTGAGGACAATCTCCTCCACAGTAAAAAACCACTTACCTGTAGCGCTCTGCTGTGGCTTTTCAAAAGACACGATGTTGGTATATGTTCCATTTAAAGGCTTTGTTGTCCATAGTATACTTCAGTTGAATGGGTGACAGCGGACAGTGAGGTAATTTTACCCTATTCCCTTACCCTCCTGTCTTGTTCCATTTTATCCATGTAACACTCAAGAGCCTCTTTTTGTGCTTCTATTTTCTTTCCTTTCCTTTATGTCTGTGTCTCTCTGTCCACTCGCTCATAATCTGTCTCTCTCCATCCTTCTGTCTGTTTTTCTTCCTGCCCTCTCACACAGTCCATTGATCCAGGCCAGCAGTTTACCTGGGAGAACTCCAACATGGAAGTCAACAAGCCAAAGAATCGCTATGCAAACGTCATTGCTTATGACCACTCCAGAGTGGTGCTCACCTCTGTTGATGGTAAGAGCTCATGTAACCACTTAACCCTTCAGATTGCCATTGACTGAGGCTGCTATCGATTGAGACCTCCTTCACAAGTACCAAGGACATTTTGTGTGCCTGCAATTGCTCCTGAATTTGCAGCTTTAGAAAATCTCCACTTTTATCCACAAAGCACACGTACCTCGGAAAGTAGCATGCATCATGAGTGATTGAAAGTGACAGATTGTCTTTGTACCATGTATGTCAATGTGCTCTATATCAACAATAAGAAGAATCAGTAAATTTATCATGCATTTTGATTAAAATGATTCAGACCTTGAGCAACCTTATTAGATCAAATAAACCATTCAGTGTAATAAATAGGTTTCATCCTTACTTCTTGTTGTTACAGCCGTTCCAGGCAGTGACTACATCAATGCCAATTACATCGACGGCTACAGGAAGCAGAATGCCTACATTGCCACACAAGGGCCACTGCCAGAGACACTGAGTGACTTCTGGAGGATGGTGTGGGAGCAAAGATCCACCACCATCGTCATGATGACCAGACTAGAGGAGAAGTCACGGGTAAGGAGAGACACAGTGTCATTTACTGACACTGAGAAATTAGGCAATCAATCACTGACGTCATTTGTTAACAGTTCATTCTTTCTGATTCATTGAGCAAACTCAAAGATTTTATAATGTACATTATATAATGTATCAATAATGAACTACATATGAACTCAGTTACTTTACTGTAAATAAATAAATTATGATAAACTAGTAACTAAAAAGGCCAGAAATATATTTTTCTGTTGCAAAATGTCATTAAAACACATTTGCATGCAGCAGATTATTGGACAATAGAACCTATGAATTGATGTCACTTTTGATGTGGTACCACACCCTTTACCACTACCTACTTACCAAACAACCAACAATAACTGATGGCTGCTCTGAATGGGAAAAGCTGTGATACCAGGAGGAAAACAAATGACTGTCGTGTAAAACTGAATGTCATTGAAGTCGATAGTACTACAACATATCAGACAGTTAGTGTTGAAATGAGGCCAGAAAAGGGGCTTCCTGACATATATATGTATATATTTATGGAGCTCAACACTAGGGAAGTTACATTAAACCAAACAAAGCCTGAAGGCATATAGATGCCTGGTCCTACTTTAAAGCAGGATTTGTCAGCCTGATCAAAGTCACAAGGACTTCAAAGGATATTTTGGTTGTCTGTGGACAGTATCGCTTCATGTTGCTTCTCTTCTCCTGAGTCTTCAGCAATCTCTAAAAACTTCTGCATGAATTCCTTCAAAATCTGTTTGTGAAGGAAAATTGCACAGTGCTTTTTACCATTCCCCATTTTCCTTCCTGTTGTTTGTTTGCCACTTATGGTGGAGTAACTGTGGAAACTTTGCATATAATGACAACACGTGCATACCCTCTACTGAAAATATGAAAAACTTCAAGCTAAATTATGAACATGTTCAGTGTAGTTACATTTAAACTTTCCGAATAATGCAGATTCTGTTTTATTCAAACTGCTCAGAGAGCTCAGTACTTGATTGCTACATATTTTAACACCATGCCAAGGTTTCATAGACATGACTGTCTCATTTGTGTTTGCTCCTTCTGAATTTTGCTCTCAAAAGCCACAGCACTATAATGAAAACTCTGAAGTTGGAGTTAAGAGGATTGTCACCCAGCAACACCCGTCTGCTCCTAAAAATACATTCAAGCTAATAAAAGCAAAAAAAAGAGCACATGGGCAACTTGAGATTCAAAATTAGGATGGGTTTATTTAATTACCATCACAAAATCATTCTCAAGAATTCCTTGGAGGAAACAAATCAGCGTGGAGCCCTGCCAGTGTGTGGTGCTTTATTATTGTGTGCATACGGTGCCCTAATGAAAGAAAGTCCCCAGACTATGGACTGAAAGTGAAAGGGATTGTAAATGAAAGAGTTCATTTCCAAAATCCTAGACATTGATTTTTTGGGGGGTTGATCATTACCTGAAGCTCAGGTCATCATTCACTATCTAAAGTGAGTGTAAATAGCAACCGTTTAAAGTAAAGACTTAAATTACTTACCATCCTTCAAAACATAGCATCATCTGTTTTAATTATGAACTATTGACATTTAAGCAAATTGTAAGCACACTAGGTCTTTTTGGAACAGAGCTCATTTATTTGTGCCTGGTAGAATATCTGCAGCGTGGATATGTTTGATAAGATTATTTTTATTACACCTTCAGTCGATCTCAGCGAGGATAAACAAACATCCTCGCAAATACCTTTTTCTATGTTTAGTGTGTCTGAGTGGCCATTTCAAACCTGTGTGACAGATGACCATGCTCTCCTGCTTTGATCTTAGAGTCAGAGCTACACATACAGCACGTACACAGCAACAAAATAATGGAAACACCACAACATAAGGAACTTAAAGAGATATGAAACAGGTTCTCGGCCTGTCCCCACCTCCTACACACATTTGAGAATCAATTTGTTTGCCAGCACTATGGAGAGAGATGTAGTGAACCAAACCTGCTTTCCACCAATGGGGGTGGAAACATCTTTTTTGACCACTTACAGTATGCCAGGGTACCTTGAAATCTCTAGTACAACATCAACAAACAGGGTGGAGTCAGCTTTGGCTATTTTTCAAATAGCTGTTTTTTTTGTTGTTTTTATCTGCATTGCTGACATTTATACTAGGTTTCCATATATAGTATATATTATATATAAATATATGTGATAACAGCTCAAAAAACACATTTGGTGTTCAATTAGTCTGGTATATAAATCACATTTACAGCCTCTGCTATACAGAGTAAATGTTTAGTTAAATGACAGTTTGCAGTGTGTATGTAATATAAACTTCTGTCACAATTTCTAAATGACTTTTTCCAATGCAATGTGAGGTAATTAACAGTGAATGGAAGTGACTAGACTCCTTCTGCATCACTCTCCCCAAAACAACATTATTTAATATGACATTTAATAAGACAAAACATCGCATACGACTAGCTGTACTCCTGAATAGACACAGTATTGCTACATTTTCATGGATTTCTATCATTTTTTCTGCTCCCTTTACATAAATACACTTCCTCTATTAGTCTTTTTCTCTCGCACATACACATATGGTGAATGAGTCAACCTCCCACCACCCAGCCAGACTGATGTCTTATGCCAAACAGAGCATGAGCTTGACAAATATGATGAGATCCGGCAGCAGGCAAATTTCAGCTTCCTCTAGCACTATCATTACTAGTTAGTAAAACCCTAAAAGGTCAGGACTTGAAATGAGACCAGAGGTATTACTCACTTGTGTGTGTGTATGTCTAGATAAGAGGTCTGCGTCCTCTGCAAAAGGCCAGGTGACGACATGTGAGAAGCAAGGTTCAAAGCAGAAGCAGATGACGGTGAAACCTGTGGTCTGTGTGTGTGTGCAAGGGAAAATATGCCACCCAAGCTCAGAAAGCACAGAGATATTCATTACAGTGGTGACTGCTAATCCATATGTTTGTACTGCGAGTGGTTCCTCATCACTCAATTGAGTTTCTCCTGCAAGGTCTACCTCTGCCACTGAATAGGAGCTGTCACCAAGGGAGGTGAAATGTGAGGGGGTGAATTTTAGCGCATTTTGTTTGTCGATTTGTACCAGCTCACTCAGACAGCCAAGGTGCTTCGAAATGTCAGCTCGGTACTGCAGTATCAATATGATTAGCTTGGCTGCGCCACTTCTCTTACTCTCATGCTATCTAAATCAATAGCAGCAAGTCCAAGTCCCAGCAACTCTGACGCAAAAACAAAGTTGGCATTTGCTCAGTTTCTGTATATAAAAAGGAAGCTGAGCTTGAATTGACTTGACCCAAACACATTAAAACATTTTTGCAGTTGGGGCGTCTGTGGCTCAAGGGGTGAAATCAGGTTGACCCCTGATCACAGGGTTGTCAGTTCAATCCCCATTTCTTCCTTTCTCCATGTCAACGTTTTCTTAGGCAAGACACTAAACCCCAAATCGTTCCAGATAGCTTACTGCCATCGGTGAGTGACGTGTGTGTGAATGATCGGCAAAAACTAAAAGCACTACATAAATGTAGCCATTAACCATTTACAATAGCTCATGCTATTATTCAGAGTGCCTTTGATTGTTTGAAAATGGGTTCAGCTTCTTGTTAAAGGTGGGTGGAGAAAATTGTTAGGGAGTCAACTTGCCCTACAAATTCAGATTTTATTCTTGAAAACATCCACCGATAATCGACTGAGCCTAGAAGCTAGAAGCAAGACTAATCAGCGGGCTTTGCCGGGTGTTTAGATAATGATGTGACTCATCGCCTCTAGAAACTCTCAGACCTTGTGAACAACTATTAAATTAGGTGTTATGAAAATCAAATGAGGCATGATTGTGCAAATGCATGGCCTATTTTTGACTCCAAATTATTCATAAGTAGTTTAGGACATATTTGCCCAACGTTTCCAGAACAGACGCTTTATTATTGCTGTTTGAAAACCAGAGCCAAACTCCAGTGACAGCCTGTAGTGACTTTCATCAATTGGATGAGGAAAGGTTCATGTAAATGTTTAAGTAAAGAAGAGTATTGTTCACAATTCATTAAAAGTCCTTTTTTTGTTCCAATCTAATGGCAATTGAGTCTTGCCAAAGAGAGGAAGAAAAATGAAAATTGTGGCAAAGGCCAGTCTATCATTTTCATAGACACACAGAGCCATTCAGTGTCAGTGTTTGGATGAACTTTAGTCTCGTCCACAGTGAAGTTTGTTCTATGCACATATGGAGCCAGGTGGCCAGACCTGCTGTCCCCTCACGACAGGCGAGAACGGGCTTTTAGACACATCTCCCTCCACAGTGCATTGCCCAATCATTACAAATGCGCCAAAAGCATACATTACAAGGGGTCGCGAACCACCTGACAATTAGCTAATTGAAAATGATCACAAGCTGGTAAAAGACAAAGTGGGCTTTTTAATGCCCTTTTGAAGCCTGCTTCAAATGCAGACACACATGGATGCACACGCTCATGCTCAGTTCGTTTTTTAGAAGGTACAGGAGCTGACTCTTGAGTCTTCAGGTTTTAATTAGACAGTGGACAAAGCCTTTGATCTGACCTCTTTAATGTTCCCTCCTTGTTAATCAGTGTGATCCTACAAGCCTCTCACTAGCCTCGTGGTAGATGTTAGAGGCAGTTCACTCCTGACAGTGTGCCCTCTCTCTTCCTCTGCCAGGTGAAGTGTGACCAGTACTGGCCATCGCGAGGAACAGAGACCTACGGGATGATCCAGGTCACCATGCTCGACACTGTGGAGTTGGCCACTTACAGCGTTCGTACATTCGCCCTCTACAAGGTACAGCACTGGCTTTTTTCATTTGCAGTTAACCATATAGCAATAGATGCTCATGAAGGACATGTTCCCAGCAGGTAATTGCAGTTCGTCATTACTGGTGTCACATTTTAAAATGTAATTGCTTATTTTTCTGAATACAGATAAAGGCTATTACCACTGGACTCTTTTTTTTCACTGCTGTAATTGGTTTTTAACATCCAAGTTTTGTCTCTTGTTCTCTAAAAGGCAATGAAAGATTTCAGTTTTTCACTTTGATTCATATAGTTCAGTGCCAAGATGATGTGACTGATGTTTCGTCCTTTCTTTCTCCTCTACCAGTTTTTTTCCATTACTTATAATTTCAAACATTATTATAATTCTTAATTAAATGCAAGTCTCCAGCTGGAGCAGTTACTTCGTTTCAATCAGGAATGGTGACAATGCCAAGAAAACGTTCCAGCGAAACTGCCCAAGTTCAATTCCAAAATTATACACATTATCTACACCTACACTTTCAGAATGATCACAGCCATAAAGTAGAGCACATTATGTGCTGCTGTCAAAGTGAGCCAATTCAAGACCTTTGCTTAAAATAGCTACATTTCTGACAATTAAATCAAACTTTTAACTGTAGCATTTGAGCTCCTTTTCATCAACACAGTCTAACCTTAACCTGTTCAAAACATTTTTGTCAAGCATGACAATTACAGTACTATGTCAGGGTATCCCACTAAGTTCTACTTTACTGACTTCTTGTGACTCTCCTGCAGAATGGCTCCAGTGAGAAGAGAGAGGTGAGACAGTTCCAATTTATGGCCTGGCCAGACCACGGGGTGCCAGAGTACCCCACCCCTATTCTGGCCTTCCTACGGCGGGTAAAGGCCTGTAATCCTCCAGATGCTGGGCCCATGGTGGTCCACTGCAGGTGGGTGTAGACAGGAACAAGCTCATTATATGTGTATACAGTAAAAGAACTGCTAATTTTTTTACCCTCACATGTATTTTTCTTTAAATAAACAAATGGCTTGTTTGATGGAAATGAGTGGTTGAGGAAGTAGTGTGTTATTTTATCAAAGATTAGTGCCAATACACCATGAAGGACACCACATGCAACAGAGAAATCCTGTTTTTGCCTTCCCATGAATTTGTCTCAATAATTCTGTGTTGGCCTTGTTCCTGCCAGTCCAAAAGCCTCACAGAATGCCTCTACAATCACAAACTTTGTACACAATCTGCAGCAACAATTTCATTATGGTCCAGCTCTTGTGCTAGAGGGAGTAAATCAACTAACCTAGAAGGCAAAAAGTCCAGTTCTCAGCTTTCAAGCACTGAGAGATACAGAACACAATTGGAAAACTTACATTACAACACTGTTCTTACCTTGCCGCATCTCAATTTTTGTTTTTCACACCTTTTTTGACTACATTCATGCATTTTATACACACATATAGTACAGTAAGTGTATACACAGCAAAAGAGAACTTAGAGAAGTTAAACTTTCATTTTCATGTGAAAGCTGACACCATGTAATACAGAACTTACTTGTTCCTTGTATGATTAATACCTTTGATTGATATATTAAATCACTGTTGAGATTAAGTAGTTTTGGATTTCCAGTTCAACCCTGATAACCTTGTGCTTTAGCGCTAGTTTCATCTCCATAGATTTTTACCAATGTGTTTATACTGTCAGCAGTGTTATACAGTGTAAAGAGATGTACGAAAATGATATGTTGTATATAGTGAAACATTAAGTTATTTACCCCCTCCTCTCCCTCTGTCTTCCTCCATCAGTGCGGGCGTGGGCAGGACTGGCTGCTTTATCGTGATCGATGCCATGCTGGAGCGCATGAAGCACGAGAAGTCTGTAGACATCTACGGCCACGTAACGTGCATGCGTGCCCAGAGGAACTACATGGTCCAGACCGAGGACCAGTACATCTTCATCCATGAAGCCCTGCTGGAGGCCGCCACCTGCGGCAACACTGAGGTGCCAGCACGCAACCTGTATGCCCACATCCAGAAACTCACCCAGCCCCCGCCTGGCGAGACGGTTACTGCCATGGAGTTGGAGTTCAAGGTGACTGATAAGCACACACTTTAGACAACTATTACTTTATTTCATGACTTTTTCAGTGTAATAAATTTACTTTTAATTTTTACTAGTGCTGTAGTTGACTCCTGCAGGATGTAATGAAGCATTTAACTTTAAAAAAGACCTTTCAGAACAGCTTTTCCTGATTTATACTACACTGAATCATTCACAGGGGTGACATTGTAACACTCTACAGGAAGTGAAGGAAGGAAGTTTTGTTGTTAATAATTAACAAAAATTAGAACAATTGTGTTACCTTTCTACATGTGTTTCTCAATCCAGTCTGATCGACAAGCACAAGCAGGTCGTCAAAAGGGCATCAGACTGCAGCTGCAAATTCTGACCTTCTGTCCAGTGTGTCACTATTGTGCTGAGTGATCACAGAGAGGTTTAAGCGTGTTTAAAATGATTAATTCACCAAATACGCCAATGCACAGGAATTTGTCTCTGTGACATTAGTATGGAGGCATCCCAGCAGCTACAGTAGCATCACATGTTCCAAATGGACCAGAGCACACACACATACACTCAGAAACACAAACACATCAACACACCTACACGTGGAGAATTACAAAATGACTGACACTCGCACATACACACAGCTGGTGTTCAAGGTGACTCGAAATCACACGCACACCTTCTGTCAATAGCCATCGACTGTGATGTTATTACACACTTTCCTCCCAGCGCGGCTCTGCCATTAGCCCTCTTATGACCATGATCCATTCTGTTTGAAGTGATAATAGCATCTACACTCCTGCCAACGACGGAGAATGAAAGAGTGAGAGAATGATTGCGGCGTATGTGGGGGCCACAGCCTCCGTGCCCACACAGTCTGGCCACAACACACACACATAAATTATCCTGGAGTACCATGACTGTCCATACACACTCCTGTGCTGTCCATCTGTGCTCTGTCCACTGCCAGCACTGAGCTTGTCACGCCTACAGTCCTCCAAGCTCTGGGACTCTATGGGAGGATAGTCCAGTGCTCTTAGTTATACCTACCAGCAGAACGTTTTATATATCTTGACAGGAAACCTTAAGTCTAAATAGAAACTTCTGACAAGGAAGTGTTTCAGAAGTTTGTTGTTGTTTACTCCAGGTCACAGGTCACTAATTTTTTCTCCCTGTCTGGTTTCTTCTCACCTCTCATTAAACAGAGACTGGCCAACTCCAAAGCCCACACATCACGCTTCATCAGCGCCAACTTGCCCTGCAACAAGTTCAAGAACCGCCTGGTCAACATCATGCCTTTCGAGTCCACCCGCGTCTGCTTGCAGCCCATCCGTGGCGTCGAGGGCTCTGACTACATCAATGCCAGCTGCATTGACGGCTACAGGTCAGCAAAGGACTTCAGCTTGAACATTTGAGCTGAATACAATGGCTGTGAGGTTAAAGTGCTGACTATGAGCTTTAAAGGACAAGGCTGCATTGTTCTATATTTATCTCATTGTCAACAAATCCTATGAAAAGATCAAAACCAACAATGCATTAGTCACTGCCCATGCCATATAGCCTTTGGCTCCATTCATTCCTACTGAAGATGTGAAAAGGGTCACAAATATATAGTGTGATTTTTTTCAAAAAGGCTCAGTAATGTCCTGAACAGCTAGGCACTGTAGATTTTTAGCAAACGTTAGGAGTAAATAGAGCATTTGTTGGACTATTTTCAGTGACAGATTAATATAAATTTGGTGCTCTAGTGACTATTTAATGCAGCAGGATGGTGAGTCATAGACTTCAGGCAGACATTGATTGAACAGGACTTGTAACCAAATATGAATGCACTGACTTAATTGAGCTTTATGTTAACTTGTTCAATTACTCTCTGTCTCCTAAAATAGGGCTATTATCCGACATGGTTCCTCTGATGTGGCTGTAAACATCCTTAAATTAAATCTGAGAGTCAGCCATTGTTTTATTTCATATTCAATGTCCTGGAGCACAGAGCCAGCACAACAAAAATTGCATCACTGTCGTAATACCTTCCTGACTTCACTGAATGTGACAGGTGTACAGTTGTACTGATGTGAAAAAGACAGAAGGTGTTCTCTAGATAAAAATGTATGGGAGGCGACTGAAGATGAGTCCGCAGTGGGCAGTATCCAGTTGCAAGAATTACTCCCGGCTCTATCAATGTGGCTCTCGTTCGCTGAGCCACTACTTCTTTCATATCCAAGCTACTGCATGTCCTTGTGTGCTCTGTGAGTCCAAATTGCTTCCTAGAGGGAGGAAGATGAAAAGGCAGTCCTCTGTTTTATATCTATATAAGTACGGGCAGAGACAGACGGCACTGACTCATATGCAGTCGAAGTGAGGGGATGGATGTAGCGGGCCTGAAATGCCATTCAGTCCATATGGGGTTCTGCTTCGTACCAGGCTGTGAAAGAGAAACACCTCCACCCCAACCTCCCTAACTCCCTCCTCTTTCTCTGGTCTTGTTGTTAATGAGAAGTTGCTCTACAGAGGCCAACCCTCCATTGTTGCTGTGTAAATAGCGTAATTGCAGCAAGAGAGTATTGTAATGAAGTGTGTTTTGAAAACCCCTCTCCTTTTTTTTCCTCTTCTCCATGTTCTCTCTCTTTTTCCTTTTCCTTTCCTCCTTTATTTTTACCCCTTTCTATGTCTGTCTCTCTGTTTTCTCCTTCTTAATCTGTCTCCTTCGCACCTCTTTCCTCACACTCTCTCTCCTCCTACCCTCTTCTCTCGCTCGCCATCTTAATTTTCCATCCAGACATCATGGCAGAGACAGACATATCCGGGTGGGGACCTGTTGTGTGCACCAGTGGCTCTGTGTGATTAAGCCGCTTTTAAAGCCTGGGCATAAATAAAAACTAAACAGGGGCCTCCAGTGCCCTTCACCCCAGCGCCTTCAAGAAAAGCCAATAATATGCTAAGCTAATGAGAGGCGAACCATTGATTCCAACTATGCTATCAGGGGCGCGAGCCCTGGTTATGCTCCGATGCAGGCTGGAGTTTCAGCATTGTAATGAGGTTGAAATGAAACACTATGTCCTCAAGCACTGCAGTCATGTGGGATGATGCGGGGAGTGCTTTGTGCTGTTTGGCAGCACGCTCATCAGGACACTGTGTGCAGAGAAGTCAGTATTGTGTTATATGGTTAGGATTGCTTTTGTTTTGGCTAGGGGCTGTTTTATGCGGAGGTTAGAGGGGTCCACCCTATCAATTTGAAATTTATCATTCAGCCCCTGCTTGGCTTCCCTTCCCTTTCTTCCCCTTCTGCTCTTACATTCCCTTTTCCTACGTTCTCGTTTTCTTCCTTTCCACCTCTCTTTTCCTCTTTCTTCTCTTCTCTCCTCCCCAGCAGTCAGTCCTACTTTGCACTCAGATGACCAGCTGGAGAGAGCAGTGCTCATTCTTTTCATCTCCTCACATTTTCCTCTCTACATCTTCTCCCTATGCTTTGTACATCTCCTCTCTTTACTTTGCATTTCTCTTTTCCCCTGTTTTCATCTTTTTTAATTTGATTCCTCACTCTGTTGCCTTCCCCTCCTCGTATGCCATCTCCTTTCCTCTCTCTGCCAATCTGTTGTTTCTTTATTTGTGCGAGTGGAGGCCCTGAGCATATTCTAATCTCCCGGTTCCACATTAGTGCCTTGCCTGCAGCACCTTCATTAGTTGTTCAGCCGTGGCTCAGTGTGTGACTGAGTGTGTGTAGTAGTGTGTCTGAATATACATGCAAAACCACTGCACGCATACATTGGTACACCTGGATGCAAGCTTACATGTGCTGCAAACATGTGAGTGTGTTCACAGTTGTGCGTGTGTTTTGTGTGATTCCTCAGCTCTGTTATCGGTGCGCTGCTGCCACCTGCTGTTTGACAAAAGAACTGCTCAGCGGGGGCAAAGTCACGTAGGACACCAGCACAGCTCTGGCACCTCAGTGGATGAGCTCATCTCTAGTTTAGTGAGCGTATCAAGTGCTCCCTCTCTCATTCTGTTGTGTTACAGAGAGGAAGGAGGAAGAAGTAGAGGATCTATTCAGGCTTGAATAGCTCAGTGATGATGATAGTTGCCATGGATTATTTGCTATTTTCATTAAATGTGTCGGAATTTATCTAAGGGTAGAGAAATTATGACAGAGTACGAGGACAACAGGACCTTACATACTTTAAAATTTGCAGCTGAGTGCTTTTAAACGGCACGGTGATTCCCTTTTCTACAAGTCATGCTCATGTAGGTGCCTCGTATATAAATGTCCACCAAATGGTATGTGATGCTTTTATAGAACAAAAGTGGAGTAATACAGAAAGCTCTTCCCCAGCCCTTGAATTTTATTTGAATACATTTGTGTCTGAATGTAATTGAGCACTTCATAAGACATGAGTTTTGTTGCATGTCTTATATCTTGGCTGTTATTAAATTTGGGGGTTTGGGTTGGATTAACAGCCTTTGTGAACCACTCTACAACAACAGCACTCCTTTATCATTACATCCTTTTCTGGTTATTGCTTTGTGATGTGCTTTATAATACCAGCTGTAAAAGCACCATAAAGTTTTATAATTATTATGTGTTATGTTTAATCTCTGCCTCCTCTGTGTGGTGTTATGTCCTCAGACAGCAGAAGGCCTACCTGGCTACACAGGGCCCGCTGGCAGAGACCACCGAGGACTTCTGGAGGATGCTGTGGGAGCACAACTCCACCATCGTCGTCATGCTCACCAAGCTACGAGAGATGGGACGGGTAATACACAAACTCATTCTATACATAAATACATGCAGCACCTGTAAGGTCATTGGACCATTTCAGGGAATGATAAGAATCTTTATAAACTGTTCAGTTCAGCTGAGCTACTGCGTCACACTGCTCAAATATTAATTCATTCCAACCATTCCAACAGTAACTTTCGTTCAAAGTTAACTTCCTTATCACCATGGCTGGAATGCATCTGGGTTGAAACTAGCATGCTACCGTGTCAGATTTGTCAATAATTGGTAGCATTCCAAGCATACTGATAATTCCCATACCGCTTAGCTGCATCACACGCTATGAAAAATGTGATCTGAAATGGGATCTGTGATGGTAACAAGGGAGCTAAAAAGACTTCTAAACACCCTGACTACTTAAGTTTGGAGCTCAACAAAGTTTATAGTTAGTTTCAAAATATCAACCGTGCCCTTGAATAAGATTTGAGAATTTTTGGTGTCATAAGTCACCATAAACTATCCTGACACAGAACCATCACTGTTTATTACGAGCGAACCAATCATAATAACGAATCAATTTTAGCAAAACCAGTCGGGAGAAGGGAAGCATCTTTTCCATCAAGAAAAGCCTTCTTTCTTTCTTCAATGAAGAAATGCTCTCCAGTTCTGAAACGACTGATGCTAGCAGCATCTACGCTAACCTCTACCTCTAAGCTAAGCTAACCAGTTGCTGGCTGCAGCTTTATATTTAACAGACAGATATGAGAGTGGTATCAATCATCTTATCCAACTATCAGCAAGAAAGCAAATAAGCGTATCTCCTAAAACTCCAAACTATCCCCTCATCTTGGTACCAAGTTGATTAAATCCATAATATCTTTGACTGAGTTGTTTTTTGTGATTATGCAGGTGATTCTGACAGCACTCAGCTGCATTTTATAGCTTTATCAGCCTCTCATCCATAATCACAGTTTATTAAAAAAAAGCCCTCATGCACATCATCACTGCAGTTAAGCACACAAACAAATTATGTAAATATTTTTCCACCTAAGATGAATCAGACAATATTTCAAAACACAGATTAGTCTCTTCTCAATTTTCTTTTGTAAGCAAAGACCTTCTCATGACTCAAAATGACTAATAATGTACAAAAACCCGTACTAATAATATCCTGCACTTGCACATCAGGCATTCATTATGTAAAATTGTATTTTCCTTCCTGAGTGTGTTTAGAAAAAGCTTCTTCAAATATATGTGCTTTTTGTCTCCCTGTTCTTTTGTAGGAGAAGTGCCATCAGTACTGGCCAGCAGAGCGTTCAGCCAGGTACCAGTACTTCGTGGTGGATCCAATGGCTGAGTACAACATGCCCCAATACATCCTCAGAGAGTTCAAAGTCACAGATGCCAGGGTATGTTGGATTCACTCTGTGTGTGAAAATATGTGGGTTTGCCCTTGTGTGTATAAGTGTGTGTGTGTGTATTAGTGTGTTCTTGAATGTGTCTTTGTGTGTATGTCTTGGTAGGGGGGAGGAGGATTGATTGGCATTTTACGCAAATACAACCATCCAACCAAAATCCATCTTAATTTTAGGTTTTCATATAAATGCTGACAGTCATGCTAAGTGTTAAGAATTATACCGACTGTGATTTCAAGGTAGAGATGATCAGAACGCATCCCGTGTTATTTCTCCTGACAGGTTGACATAAAGTGAATGCACCATCAAACATGTTTACCCGGATTTAGTAGCAGTATCTTGCTCTATGGATTGTGTGTGTGTGTTTGCGGTTGTGTGTGTATGTGCGTGTTGTGTTTCGAGATCACTGTAAAAATACATGAAAAGCATAGCCTCCAATCCCTGAGGGCCAGTACTGCAACTCCCTGTGATGCAGTAGTTTCAATGGGCTATAAATATACTTTACTGTCATCAGAAGGCCCACAGCACAGCAACACTCTAATCCCATATCCACTCCTTCTTTTACACACACACACACACACATATATATATTTATAAATGTGCATGTGTATGTGCAAAAACAGGTGTGGAAATAAGATCCTAATATGGACAAAAAACATTTGATTCACACATGCTGTCAACGCAGTATTTGTCAAATGTCAAATTTGACTTCATTTTGCAGTTGTGTTTTTGTCAGTCCTGGTCCTTCGGTGCCACAGTACCGTTGGTTTTCTCTCCTACCAAGTCGTCAGCTTTATTTATATTATATCCCAGGTGTAAATTAGATGATGAAAAAGCTGCAGTGAAAACCGGCAGGGTTACGGTACTCGTGGACCTCGGCTGAGAAGCGATGCTGTGGTGTTTATTTGTTAAGTGCATATTAGAGTAAAGGCTGCAAAGAGAGAGAGCTGTGCTTATAGAGGTAAATTGAAAGCTCAGCTGAATTATACACACAATATAGATCACCTACATGTCAGTCTTACTACTTATCAATGCCCTGTACCTCTCTAATGTATTTAAACTCCTAATTTGCTGTCCCTCAGGACGGCCAGTCCAGAACAATCCGCCAATTCCAGTTCACTGACTGGCCCGAGCAAGGAGTGCCAAAAACTGGAGAAGGCTTTATTGATTTCATTGGACAAGTGCACAAAACCAAGGAACAGTTCGGACAGGATGGACCAATCACTGTACACTGCAGGTAAGGAGGAAAAGTTCCACGGATTAACAAACTACAGGCATAAAGGAAGGCTGCTACTTCAGAGCTGCGTACATGTCTGCAAATGTTACCGTTTGAATTTTGATTATGTAGAAACAGAGTTCTTTCAATTCTCTGCAGTTTCAAATGGCATATAATCTGAGATAATGATGATGCATTTTCTGCATTTTAATTTGATCCTTTAACACTTTTAAGATCAACTTGTGCTTGTTTATTACATTCTATGGTCATTTAGGATGCTTATTATTTATACAGTGCATTATAAGAACAAAAGTAACAGAAATAGTTATTATAATTCATGTCACATTTTCTCATGAAATCACATTCTGGTCTGACTTTCTTATTCAGAGCAAACTGAATTTAGTTGCCAGTGTACAATAAGAGTTTATGAGCCCTTGAGAGGAGATGTAATACGGATTTGTGTGTGTGTGTGTGTGTGTGTGTGTGTGTATGTGTGTGTCTGTGTCTGTGTCTGTGTGTGCGTGTGTGTGCGTGTGTGCTCCTCAGTGCTGGGGTGGGCAGGACCGGAGTCTTCATCACCCTCAGCATCGTGCTGGAGAGGATGAGGTACGAAGGAGTAGTCGACCTCTTCCAGACAGTGAAGACACTTCGCACCCAGCGGCCTGCCATGGTGCAGACCGAGGTAAGAACTGAGTGCCGACAGGGATATTGTTCATACATATCCCACAGTGACAGGATGGGATTTCAAAGTCAATATTGTATATTTTTACGGTGTAAAGATATTATCTGAAGCATCATGTGACTTTTTTCTTTAATAGAGTTTTGAGAGGTGCTTCGGAAGTATCATAGCAAACTTATCAGGTGCTATCACAGAGGTTCAGTGTCATATTTTCCTCCAATTAAGAATTGATGAATGCATTGTTAAACAGACAGGCAAAGCATCTTAAAAAGCAAATTAAACAAGACAGTCATGGTGTGAATTTAAATGAGTTCTTAAACATTTTAAGAGACAAAAACACTGTTAAGTAGTACAACTATAGTTATACAGAAGAGTCATTATATTACATTGGTTCATATGAACAATCTGTACAGCATACGACTCCCTCTATCCTTAGATAAGGAAAAAAACTGCAGACAGACATGCAATAGACATCATGTGTAATGAATTGAATGATAAAATGACAGATATATGTGATATTCCAGAAATGCATGCAGACTTTCTTATGGAGGTTTCTTCTTCTTCTTCAGGACCAGTACCAGTTGTGCTACAGGGCAGCATTGGAGTACCTGGGGAGCTTTGACCACTATGCAACATAACCACTCCCACCGAGCAACCTCCCTGGTCAAACCTCTCAGGAGTGTGCCAAGTGTCCCATCTCAGCCACCATCCACTCACTTGACCCCCTTAAAAATCCAACCCCTCGCAGCTACCGTAGGGGAGGAGAAAGGGAAGCGCTTGCAGACCCGGCAACGGGTTCAACCAATCACAGAGATCCACGCCGACCTAACCAACCACATGAGATTTTGCTTTAAAGATAATAACAGAAACATTACAATGACTATGACAAATGCGACAACTCTTGTACAGATGCGACAGCGCAGACCGGCAGATCGCCTCTCTGCTCTGTCGAAGCCAAACCTCCCTGATTGTCAAAGGCTACTGGTAGCACTAAGAGAGCATTCTCTCTGTTTTTATGTTAATTTTATTGTCAATATTATGATTCATTATGTCACATGTTATTGTTTAGTGTATTTGTTGTTTTTATTAATCATTTTAACATCAGACATTTCTTCTGTCTTAAACTGCCCAGCCTGGGGCGTGCATTATTTTCATAATCTGTACTTTTTTTTTATTTTTTATTTTTATTTAGGGTACTTTAGCACAAGGGACATGTATTTTTAACACGTTCCTAGATACTAATACAAGAGGACCACTGTTCTCTGAGCTGCTGTCAGATTTTTTTTTTTTCATTTTCGTTTTATTCATATTATGTGTCATAAACATGTTTTTTGGTCTTGTTCAGTTCAATAACTCAAAAAATTGCCTTTTCACTTGCCGTTTTCGATAAAAAAAAAAAACAAATCTTTGAGAAAATTGATTTCAGAGCACACACTTGATAAAGTTTGTCCTTCTGTAAACATAGTAGCTAGTTATAAAACAAAAAGTGAATTAGCTAACTAAGAGACTAAATCAGAGGTGTACAGGAATGGAAAGCACATGATTTCTACGTTTTTTGTTTGGTTTTGTCTTTCATCAGAAGCCTATGGCATTGAGGCCTTCATACTCCACAGCGGAGAACTTACCTGAGGAAAACAGACTTTTATACCCAAAGGGTAGTTGACAGAAAATAAACTCCCCGATCTCTGAATATTGTTGCTCTTCAAGTCCCTCCCATCTCCTAACTGCCCATTAGCCCGGTCGGTTCGCTGGAGTTGAACCACACAGACCGAAAGGAGCGGAAGTGGTTCATATGGGCTGAGGAGTAGAGCCATGAACGCTGGCACCTGTACAGAATCAACCATTCCTACCAGAGGGAAAGAGACTCAGCCCTTTGGACTGAAACCTGATATTATTTTATACAGAAATAGAACTATAAATATATATATAATTATGATTGATTATATATATGTACAATTACACATAGATATATACACAGCTTCAAAGGTATATTGTTAAAAAGGATTAATTCTGCTGATCTACCAACCCTAGAGACTGCAGAGAGCCTGCTGTCCTAGAGTGTGTATTAATGGAAACACCGTTGTATCTACTGTACTACCATAGTAACTTTGACAGCTGGTTGTCCGTCTGAATGAGGAAAAAAACAGCACAAACCCCCCCACCCCAACCCCACCCATCAATATGGACGACTCCTCACTCAGCACGGGCCATCGCACCACTCAAGCACACATCTCCTCCCACACAAGCCGCAGGAGGGGAATGTCTGATCCGAGAGGCCTAAATGTTGTGGTGGTGGTGGCGGAGGCGGCAGCGGCGGTGGGAGGGAGGGGGGACTTGAAAATGCTGGCGAAAAACTAAAAATGTTCATTTTTACCTTGTGAATGCTTAGTGCTGTAGGGGTTCGATCTGTTGTACACACAGTCTGTTTTCTATTTGTTGATAAAGAACTGGAATTTAAAAAGAAACTGTTGATGAAAAAGAAAAAACATTGATGTTAATAAAGTTAAATAATTGGGTTTTTGTACAAATCCTGGCTTGTGGCGCTTCGTTTCTTGATCCTGTTTAGGAAAATGTGAATTGTTAAAACTGTGTCTGCTTTATCTCCCAGTGCCAGGAATGTTGTAGTTTTAGTTCATAATCACCTCATTCACCTGTCCTTTATTTCAAGACATTTCTAAATGGCACCTTGTTTCAATGATGGTATTGCATGTTCAGGTACCTGAAAGTGTGTGTGCACAGGGGTGTAGCCAGGTATTCTGAAATATATGCACCACCTCATATATTCTTGAAAGGCCCCTAAAACCAATTTTATTAATCAGCTTCTTACTGTAAGCAATGGAGTCTGACATGAACACTTAACTCAAAGTCCACTTAATAGCTTTTTCCAGGGATTTCTACCATATCTCACAGTCTTCAACAACAGCTGGAACACGTTTTTCTTTTTCATGGATATAGCTCACTAAATGATTTCATTAATGTCAGATATTTTCTGCATTTGTGTATTTTGTCTGGTTTGAAGTGGCCAGGGTTTGACTGGGTTGTTTGCTTATGTTGCCATGGAGACAACACTTAAATCATCACAGTCTGACCAATAACAGTTGAGCAAGTCTCAGTCAACTTCCTGCTCTCCTGTACTTAGATATGCTATGCTATGTGGACATTTTTAAGATGATTTAAAGATAAAATAAATAAATACATAAGTATAGAATCCTATTTTTTTTATTTAATTTAAATTTAATAATTTACATCAATTGTTACCAGTAAGCTAGTTAACGAGCCTTTTGCTACAGAGCAAAAACACATAGGTAATGTGAGCAAAATGCTAGCTAGTCAATGCTGCTGTGTGTAACTTGAATTTCTCCTACGGGGGATTAATAAAGGTATATCTTATCTTATTTTAACTAATTAGCTTAGATTGATTAAGATTAGCTAGCTAGTTAGCCAGTGTTTTGCTAAAATTTGGTGGTCTTTTGCCATAGACAAGCCGAGCTCATAGCATATAAGTACAGGAAAGTAGAAAGTTTATTTATGTATTTTATAGGGATTTCTTAGTGTGAAAAAGCTATCTTATATATACTGCCAATGCTAGCAATGCATCAATGCAAATTACAGTCATACAACACTACAGCTGTCAGTGATGTGATGCAAAATGACATCTCAATTTATTGCTCGCTTTAGAGTTAAACACTGTTGTAGTTTTTTATTATATAGTGATATGATTGAATGAGAGAGAGTTTAAATACAGAATATAAATGGTTGTTGGGTTTCCATGGAGACACCACTGTCATACAAATCAAAACCACACACACACACAGCAGATTTGTTGGGTTTTTTACTCTTAAACTCGTATAATAGCTGAAGATAATTTTAGTTAATTTTAACTTTGTTGCTTCTTTAGTCAAATATTTAATTTAATCTAATTTATCTATTCATTTGGTGGGCCTTTTTTCGCCCCATCAGCCATTGTGCTCTTTCTACATGTCTAGGTATGTATGTACAGACATGTATACTGTGTGATGAATATTTGACTAAAGAAGCAACAAAGTTAGTTATATAACTGTGTATAAATATAGATTAAATGGCCATGTTTCCTTTTTCAACATATATTTGTGGAATGCTGCTTGTAGCATTTTATGAACGTGTTGTTTTATATCCCACAGAACCAACTGACATCATTGTGTTTGTATGAATGCGATTGTGTCCAGGTGCATGTTTTTCTTCATTCACTAGTATTAACTCTATCTATCTTGCTGCTCTTTTATCTCTCTTTTATTTAACTAAGAAACACGCTGAGACCTGTTATTCTTTTATACTTGAGATACCATGATTTTTCCGATGGGGTAAGGAAATAAGAAAACATATGGCTGACTATCTACGTTGCATTATATCATGATGCTGAGCTATGTGTTCTTGTAGAGATGATGCACAATCTGCCCAAGATGAAGAAGACCATGAAGGTGAGTTGCTCTGCTTGAAGATCAAAGCCCAGTTGGAGGATTTGTTCTCCGACAGCCACCTGGCAGAGGACGGCTTCCTGCTGAAACACGTGCAGAAGAACAAACAGGGCTACGTCAGTCTCAAGCTCCTCACTTGTATGAAAAAGGTAAAACAAAGCAAAACTTTGTGTGCTTTCTGTGGTGTTTACATTCCATCGGTCTGAATAAAAACAATCCAGTAAAATGCAAACAAAACTGAGTTTGCCACTGTTTGTCACAGATAAAGGCCCTGACCACAAACTGGTACATGACTCTGGCGGCAGCAGAGTACTCAAACGTTCTGGAGGTGAATGATGAATGCACAAAAGTGAGGCGGATAAAGCCGCTTCCCAAATGGCTGCTGTGCTCTCCCACAAGCAAGCTCCTCCTCACCTGGAACATTTGTGAGGAGGAAGCAGAAGAAGATGGAGCTACCCAAGGCCCGGAGCACTCTTCGCTTTTTGAGAAGCTCCTCGAAAAGTTTTCTGCTCATGGCTGCGTTGCCTCATTCTGGATCCTGCATCCTGGCAAAGAGCTTCCCAAGGAGCTGCAGTGCTACGCCAAGCGTCACAAAGAGCTCGGCCAACAATTGTGTGCAGTGGTAAAGTTTGATCACCTGGAGGCGGTTCGGAAGGCCTACAGTCGCCTGAAAGAAGAAGAGGCAAAGTCGAACAGCGAGGGCATATGTGTGGTGCCTTTGGGATTCCAGTCGATGCACCACAACATCGAGGACGAACCATCAGAGGGAAACAACAAAGACCAACCTGAAAAATCTCAGGAAAATCCACTCCAAACCACACAAACATCAGAGGATTCAATCCAGGAGGAACCCTCTTCACCAGCTAAAGAATCTATTGAGACTCAAGATACATCTCAGCCCCAAGAGTCTGTGGATAACTCCAAAGAGACTTCTGAGCAGATCTCCACCAGCGGTTGTGGCCAGTCCTTCTCTGGTTTGAATCAGAGGTACAGTAGGAGGAGTTGGTGCTCTGGAGACTGTGATAAAGATAATTCTCAGAGTCCCTGGGTGCTCAGGCGCAAATTTGCAGCCAGTGCATTAAACCCCAAGGTGGCCGGGGACCTGAATGCGCCCTGCTTGATGCAAAGAGTGCTGCGTCAACCCTTCGGCCCTGACAGCACCAAAGGCTTTCGGGACAGAGGGAAGCCGCTGCAGCAGGAACTGATCAAACTCTCCCTTGCACTGAGTAAAACCACCTGTGCTGAATAACAGTGGCAGATTTGTGGAGCAACAACACATTACAACAATTTTAAAGCTGAGGAATCTAATAAAATATTTTTTGTATAAAAAAACTAAAAAGCTATTTAAGTTTTGGTATCTCTATAGGTGAGAGATTGTTTATTCTGATTTAATTGTAGTTGTAAACCACTGACAGTTGGGGGCAGCATTTAGCTGTGTACCCAAATCTGTTATTTTAAACACCGACTTCATCCTACTTGTCAAGCTGTAGTTGCATAGGAAGTAAATACACTGCAATGAATGTAAATAGACTACAGCACATATTAGCTGGAGGTACAAATTGTTACACAAACTGAGGTGTTTTAGTGCTGAAGAAAAAGTGTCCACACAAGCCCTTTTTGAAAACACCAGCGGTCACTGGTCCCTTGGGGCCTCATCTCCTCTGGTCACAACTGCAAATTGCAATGTATATTTGTTCTTGGGCCAGGATGGATTTACCTTGTTACCATTTTCTCAGAGAAAGAGGTGTTGTCTTTCAACATGAAACGCTCAGAAAAATCCCTCATTGTCCCACTGCATCTTTTTCACAAATGCTTGTTTAGATTTTGGTTCTCTAAAAAGTAGTTTTCCACTCACTGAGATGACATTTGGCTGAAGGGTACTTGTCCAATCATCAAACCACATCTTGTGCAAGACGAGCGTAGTAGCAACATTTGTGCATATTTCCAGCCTTTCTAATGACACCTCAACTGGAATGGTGTGTTTATAGTGTTACTGATTGAGGGCTTCCTTAAAATCTCGCCCAAACCTAAACAAAATGTGTTTCTTCACTCATCCACGCCCAGTGGAAAAGATTCAATCCGATGTGTATGGGATTCTATCATATTCAAATTGGAAACATTCTTTGTTATTTTTTTCCCTTGTATATGCTAAATGTCAGACTGTCTTTATGACTAATGTAATCTTAGCTGTTGAGTGAGACTTTGCAGTGTATACGGATCAAGTGTTCAACTCTTATAGTCTCTGACTTGATTTAGCAATTAACAGCTGTTGGGCTTTTATTGCAGCGGAGGCTGGTCTATGAAAACTTTACACATCTGTGAACAATATGTATAATGTAGAAATGTTCCTGCCTGATGTCAGGAAATGTTTCTGTGCTGATAGTTCCTTTTCAAGGGTAGAAAAGCACGATATCCCCTGCTAACTGCAAGCCATTATGTATTTAAATAGCCTCCTCTAGCCCATAATTGAGGTTTATGTCAAACAAGTCAACTGTCATAATTCTCATGAGGATCTGGATGATTTCGCACCTGCTTACGGTCACCAAAATATTCTCAGCGTGAAGAAGAGCGCGAATCCTCTCTTGATTTGTGGCACAGTGTTATCCTATGGGCCAGAGCTGAGGGGTACAAGCTGAAGTGAAAAGGAGAGTTTGTGTTGGATTTCACTTTGGACTTTACATGAAATCTACACTTCAGGTCACTGAGATAACAACCTTAGAATATCCATTAATACACATTTTTGGTACGAGACAAAGCTTAGGTAAAGATTCCTTTGGTTTTTCCCTTTTTCTCTTGGTCAACACTGAAGGAATTTTAAGTCCTAGAAAGTTCGCACTAGGCCACATCTCCACCTCACTAGTGGAACTTTGCAAAGCGCGATTTGTGTATAATTTGGCTCGAGGATATCAGAATGACTCATGGTGTTAAGAATGAGATATTTGTTAGCAAATAATTTGTTTCCTGTTGTTACACTGACTGTGTAGAGATTATTGCAACATCCTTGGCTGCAGACTTTTTATAACAATTATAAAACCATAAAATCTGTTCAGATCTACCTGCAGATTTATTTGACTGGTTTATGCTCTC